ACTCACCTCAGCTTCCCAAAGGCGCGGGATTACAGGCTGAGCCACCGAGCCCAGCTGGTTCTTGATGTTTTAAATGGCTCTAATGATTGGAACTGATAGAGTAAATTTCAAGTGAAGACTATGAGCTCTGCAAGAAAATAAGCACTGGGACTGTTTGTTGACTGGAAACACTAACAGCTTTTGGTGAGGGGAGAAAAAAAGGTCATACATGGAAAGATGCCAAAAATGAATATAAATCTGCCACTATATCTACAAGCAGCTGGCCTTGAGAAAAGATAGAAACTCTTGTGTTTTTTAGAAAGGATCTTTTGTTCAGAATGTTTCAGTAGACCATGAGAATGGCAGAAGTATGTTGCCTTCAAATAACGTACAAATTCTGGCTGGAGGGCAGTGACACGCTCCCGGCCACCGCAGCCTCGACCTGCTGGGCTCAGGCGATCCTTCCGCCTCAGCCTTCCAAGTAGCTGGAACTACAGGCACATACCACCACACCCGGCTAAGTTTTTGATTTACTGTAGAGATGAGGGTCTCACCAAGTTGCCCAGGCTGGTCTCGTGGGCTCAGGCAATCCCCTTACCTCGGCCTCCCAAAGTGCTGGGATGGCAGGCGTGAGCCACCAGGCCTGGCCTTAAAGTACAAAATCTTTACTATTCTATCTTTCTCATTAACTCGCTTATTTTTCTTTCTGCTTCGAGAGGGTGTCAAGCTTGTACCCATTTCTTCGGTGGGAAGAGTGTAGACTGACTCGCTGCCCCTTGGTTTTCACCATGGAAAGCATCTGGGACGGGAGCTGTCACTGGTTCCCCATGCGCTGTAGCGAGCACCGTGTCGACCCCCCGGCCTGTTCCAAGCCTCCCCCGTTCTTCTCCGGGTCTGCTGGAACAGCCTAGCCTCCTGTCAACTGGTACTTTCTCCCAGAGTCCTCTGAGATCACCTTGTAATCATGAGGGAAATTGAAAAGTGTGAATATATCAGATAATATGCATGTATATGTGACAATCTCGGCTGTGCTGACAGACCTCGGTACGGATGATTCAAAAAGACAGATGATTGTAAATATTTTTAAATATTTTAAATGTCCTTGGAGATTCCACATGATTTGACGGATAAGCCCTGTCTTCTTGAAATTCACTTTGATTTCCCCTAAGGTCCCCTCCACTTTCCCAAAATGAATACACACCCTGTGTGTGTGGCATATATGTAGTATATACATATACAGGGACCCCCACAAAAAAACCAGAGTTATCTTTTGGAAGGCAGGCCCCTTGGAGTCCAGGCTTCTCCACTGAGTGTTCTAGGGACCCACTGGCATCCGTGGACCAGCCAGTGTTGTTGTGAAGGGTTGTGTTCAGGTTCAGTGATTTTTTTTTGGAGATTCTTTCAACATTTTTGCCCATTTCTTGGTGGGGGATGTACGAGTTCACCTGCCCACACCTTTATGACTAAAAATCGCATGACCCCCGTGCCCCACCCTCCTTATTCACCCCATCTCACAGCCAGTGACTTTCTTTATTTTTGAACCCCTGGATGAAAAAAGTCCTCAAAGGGAAACGATTTTGCTGATGTGGAAGCACTAAGAGGCATAAAAATGGATACGCTCAAAAACTGTTTTGAAGACGGGTGCGGTGGCTCACGCTGGTCATCCCAGTACTTTGGGCGGCTGAGGCGAGAAGACTGCTTGCGCCCAGGGGTTCGAGACCAGACTGGGCCACTTGGCGAGACCGTATCTCTACAATAAGTCAAAAACTTAGCCGGGCTAGCCAGGCGTGGTGGCTCAGCCTATAATCCCAGCACTTTGGAAGGCTGAGGTGAGAGGATTGGCTGAGTCCGCAGATTCGAGACCAGCGTGGGCAACTTGGCCAGACCTTATCACTACAATAAACCAAAAAATTAGCCGGGTGTGGTGGCGCGCACCCGTAGTTCCAGCTACTTGGAAGGCTGTGGCGGACGGATCGCCGGAGCCCAGCAGGTGGAGGCTGTGGTGACTGTGATGGTGCCCCTGCGCTCCAGCCTAAGGGACAGCGGGAGACTTCGACTCAAAAACAATAAAAACTGTTTTGAGCAGCGGGAAAAGCTCTCATGGGTGAACTGCATCCGGCGGAGAGTGCCTGGAAGGGACCAAAACGCTTTTTATAAATTCGCCCGTAGTGGGGGTGCCCTGGGCACAAACCCCGCCCCCGAACTGCGCACAGCAGCGGGGCGCGCTGTCCCCGGCCGCCCTCCCGCCTCCCGCGGGAAACGCCCCATCCGCCCGCCCGGCTCGGTCCCCGCCCCAGGACCTCTCCCCGACCCTCTGCGGCCCCGCGCCCCGGCCGGCGCGCCCGCG